ACACAACAGATAAGATTTGTTGATCGTATACTAACCTTGATATACTGAAAAACTGACTTTTTAATAATCTATTTGGTTGAGAAAGACTTTCTGTTCATCCTGTTACCTCTCTCACCTTTCAAGAGTTTCCAACCAATCATCCAGACTCTTCTACCCATCTCACCTTCTAGACCTTTCCTCTTCTTCGAATTTGAAGTTTCCAGACAGTCAGCCAAACCTTTCCTCCTCTTGCACTTCCCAGAAGTTTTCAGTCAGTAAACCACACTCTTCCTATTACTTTTCCTTCCCATCTTCCGGAAGTTTCTAGCCAATAATCTAGACTGTTACTAATGTTTTAATATTCTATTGCCACACCAGTACACCCTTTCCCAGTATATTAGAAACTTCTGGAATAATGCACATATAGTAATAATCAATCAACATCCTACCAAACATCATCAACATCCTACCAAACATCATCAACATTTTACCAAACACCACCAACATCCTACCATACAGCATCAACATCCTACCATACAGCATCAACATCGTACCAAACACCAACAACTTCCTATCAACGACCAACATCCTACCAAACACCACCAACTTCCTATCAGCATCCTACCATACAGCACCAACATCGTACCAAACACCACCAACTTCCTATCAGCATCCTACCATACAGCACCAACATCCTACCAAACACCACCAACTTCCTATCAGCATCCTACCATACAGCACCAACATCCTACCATACAGCATCAACATTCTATCAACATCCTACCAAAACAATACCAACATCTTACCAAACACCACCAACTTCCTATCAACCATCAACATCCTACCATACAGCATCAACATTCTATCAACATCCTACCAAAACAATACCAACATCTTACCAAACACCACCAACTTCCTATCAACCATCAACATCCTACCAAACACCACCAACTTCCTGTCAACCATCAACATCCTACCAAACACCACCAACTTCCTGTCAACCATCAACATCCTACCAAACACCACCAACTTCCTGTCAACCATC